GGGGACGCGGCTCCGGTGCCCGTGCCAGCCACGGATGCTCCGGGTGGCTCGCGCCCTCCTCCGAGCTGCGCCCCGTCCCCGATCGCGGCGGCGGTGTGGACCGAGAGGACCCCCCGCCCGCCAACGGGTGCTCGCTCTGCGTCTCCTCCCCGAGGTGTGTGTGGGCGACCCCAGGGGCGGAACGGGGGAGGGGGCGCCGGGTCTCCCACCCAGGGCTGTGGGGCCCAGGGAGCGTGGGTCGCTGGGCGCTGGTCCGGCTCGCGGGGTCACAGGCCACCCTGAAACACGCGCCAGCGCCCTCCTCCTCTGCCTCCTCCTCCTCCCGCCCCCACCCCCGGGGCTGCAAGCTCCCCTCCTCGTCCCCCCCCACCCCAGGCTGGGCGACCCCACGCAGCTTCTCCACAACCCAATCCAAGTAGATGTCCGTGGGGCGGGGCTGCAGGCCCGGCCGGGAGCCGAGCACCTCCCCGAGGCCCAGCCCGCGCCCCTGGGCCTGGGGATGCAGCGTGGGGTCAGGGGGCGGCTGCGCAGGTAGATTCCACTCCACAGCCTTGGGCTAAGCTGTGCTGAGCTGGAACCGGCCTCCCAGTGCCCAGTGTGCCCATTGCCTGCACACGGGGCGAAGCCTGATGTGACTGCGAGGCCTCAGGTCTGGGATGCACTCCACGCAGGGCAGCGGGTGGCTCCCGCCCTTGTCTTTGACAGCCCAGCCACGCGGTCGCTCCCAGATTCTGTTTGAAGTCAATTTGCAATACATCAGACACAGCTAGAGTGGAAAACATACCTGAAGACTTGTTTCTGCAGGGCACAGGTGGTCACACCTGTCACCCTAGCACACTCAGGAGGCTGAGATATGAGGATGGCCTTTGGAAAGCAACCTAGACAGGAAAGTCTTGGAGACTGTGATCTCCAATTAACCATCCAAGCCAGAGGTGGAGCTGAGGCTCAAGTGGTAGGGCACTAGCCTTGAGCAGAAAGACAACAAACAAACATGTGCTAGGCCCTGAGTTCAAGTCCCAGTATACCGGGCACACACACACACACACACACAACACATTCCTGGGACTGAACAAGTGTTTTCTGTTTACCTATGGCTCAGGATTGGCTGGGTCGGGTTGTGGGGCCTGAACTCTGGGCCTGGGCGCTGTTCCTCAGCTCTTCAGCTCAAGGCTAACGCTCTACCACTTGAGCCACAGCGCCACTTCTGGCTTTTTTCTTTTTGCTTATGTGGTGCTGAGGAATCGAACCCAGGGCCTCATGCATGCAAGACAAGCGCTCTACCACTGAGCCACCTTCCCAGCCCCGGATTGGCTGGATTCAGTTCCTTCACCAGGGACCCACAGCAAAGGGCAAAGACAACCCAGTTCCCCAAGGCAGGAGGAGACGCTGTGGCTTGAGGCCTCACTGAGTCAGACTCCTTTTCTATGTTTTTAATTTTTTTCTGAAGTTTTATCATTTTTTGGGGGGGGGTTCTGGTCGTGGGGCCTGAACTCTGGGCCTGGGGCGCTGTCCCTCAGCTCTTCAGCTCAAGGCTAACGCTCTACCACTTGAGCCACAGTACCACTTCCAGCCTTTTCTGCTTATGTGATGCTGAGGAATCGAACCCAGGGCCTCATGCATGCAAGGCAAGTGCTCTACCACTGAGCCACCTTCCCAGCCCTTATTGTTTTTGTGTGTGTTTTATTTTTGCTCCATCCCCTCCCTCCCTCCCTTCCCCGAGGTTCTTTTTTTTTTTTTTTTGATTGTGATTAAGTGATTACATAATTTCTAAGTCACTAGTTCATTCTAACTTTCCTGGACAGCCCTTATTTTTAAATTCAAAATGAAGTCCAGTCTAAAGCACAAGATTCAGCTTGAACCACAAGTTGGAAAACAATGTTTTCAATGTATTTCTAAGGTGATTATTCTGTGTAGTAATAAACAGAACTAACAATAACGCACGATGTGAACTTTTCATTCCAGTGGTTTGTGTGTTTCCTTAGGATGAAATGAATTGTTAATGACAGTTAGCAGAATAGTACAAAAATTTATTTGGGGGGAGGGAAGCATTGAAGTTTGACCTTAGGACCTTGTATGGCTTAGACAGGCACTCTCCACTTTAGCTATACCCTAGCCTTTCTTACTTTATTTTTCATAGGGTATGGTGCTTATTGACAGGGAGGGATTAGGCCATAATTCTTCTGCCCCACCTTGAAGCAAGGATTACAAACAGGGTAGCTAGGATTACAAGCATGCAGTACCATGCTAGGCCCTCCTACTGGTTGCTTCTCTCCCCCCCCCATACCTGACCCACACTGTTCAAAATGTACTGGTAGGAGTTCTGCATTCAGTCCATGTTTGCTGAGCACTTGCTATGTGTCTTACAAGGTGCTCTGGCTACTTTATTAATAATCAGCACTATTTTGTTTTCAAAGAGCTGGGCCAGATACTACTCTTAGTTGTGGTTTTAAAAGGTATTTTTCGTGTTCCCTAAAAGTTTGTAATTCAGCCAGGCACTGGTGGCTCGCACCTGTAATCCTAGCTACTCAGGAGGCTGAGATATGAGGATCATCATTTCAAAGCCAGTCTGGGAAAGAAAGTCCATGAAACTGTTATCTCCAATTACTTACCAAAGAGCTGGAAGTGGAGATGTGGCTGAAGTGGTAAAGCACCAGCCTTGAGCAAAATAGCTGAGGGACAGTGCCCAGGCCCTGAGTTCAAGTCCCAGTACCAACACACACACACACACACACACACACACTGCCTCTTGGTCACTACCATTAGATCAGTTACCTGACAGATAGGAGAGTGTCCGCAACTGGAGGCTCACCTGGCCGCAGGCAGGCCAGCAGGCAGCCCAGCAGAGGCTGCAGACAGGCTGTCGGGGCCTGGCAACCAGATAAGAGCCAACCTTCACCTTGGCCCACCCACCACGTAACTGCCACTCGTCCCTCTGATTAGGAACTGCAAGCACGGAGTGGGCCATGCCCGGAAGATCTGAAATAACCAGCGTCAGCACTCTGTCTCCGCCGTCCAAGACTGCAAACATGCTCCCATCTGACCTAATCCTTGGTGTTAATGATAGCAGAGCAATTTCCAGAAGCGACTCCCAGCATTGATAAGGAGAGGAAGAGTGCAGGGGCTCAGGGGCAGATCCTCACAGAAGCAGCAGCTGCTCTCCCCGCCCCGCCCCTTCCTCCTCTTCCTCTCTCTTCAGAGTAAACACTGCCCTCTCATCTGCCCTGTTTCCTCTCCATGGTGGAGAGAAAAAGGATGTGCTGAAGGGAGTTGAAGCAGGAGAGGACCACGGGCTGCCCATGCTGCATGCTAGAACACACTAGAGAAAGACGATCTCCCTCTGACTTCCCTGCAGTCGGGCCGGGCATGTGGCTATATTGAGCAGTGTGGCCAGGATTTGCATCCCCACTTTTCCCCTTACCTGGGAGTTCTTTTCTTTTTTCTTTTTTGGTCGGTTGTGGGGCTTGAACTCTGGTCCTGGGCATGTCCTTCAGCTCTTCAGCTCAATGCGAGTGCTCTACCACTTGAGCCACATCGCCACTTCTGGTTTTCTGAGTGCATTATTGGAGATAAGAGTCTCACGGCCTTTCCTGCCCGGGCTGGCTTTCAACCATGATCTTCAGATCTCAGCCTCCTGAGTAGCTAGCATTATCGGCATGAACCACTGGTGCCTGGCTACCTGTGGGTTCTTCTTTCTTTTTTGGGTCTGGTCATGGGACCTGAACTCTAGGCCTGGGCACTGTCCCTCAGCTCTTCAGCTCAAGGCTAGCACTCTACCACTTGAGCCACAGCACCATTTCTGCTTTTTTTCTTTTTGCTTATGTGGTGCTGGGAAATCGAACCCAGGGCCTCATGGATGCAAGGCAAGCGCTCTACCACTGAGCCACCTTCCCAGCCCCTACCTGTGGGTTCTTATGGAGTCAACACCCTGCACCACTGTACCTGGACAGCAGCACTAAGGCCAGAGGGCGGGACAGGAACTTGAAACCATTATAGCAGTAAAGAAGGAGGGGCGATGGCAGTGTCTGATTCTATCCATTAGCAGAAATACTAGAAGGGGCTTGACTAGAGACCGTCTAGGCGGACGATCTTCATTTACTGGAAAGAGGGGGCCAGAAACGAAGGACTCAGGACATCTGAATATTCCCTCAATGAGAAGCTGCATTAATAACAGCCAGGTCGGATGCCCAGGGCACTGAGACCCAGTCTCAAGAGGAGAAGCTATGCTGGGGTACAGGAAGAGGCAAGAAGCTAGCCACGACTTCTCTGGAAAGTGGAGATGTCGGAAAGTGGTAGAGCATGAGCAGTAAGCGAAAGAGTCAAGCAAAAGCATGAGGCTTTGCGTTCAAGCCGCAGTGCTGGCGCATGTGCGCGTGCGTGTGTGTGTGTGCGCACACACACACACACACACCGACTTGCAGGCCTTCTTCTGGGAGGGGGAT